TTGTCTATATGTATATATCTTATACATATTTGTCTACATCTAATCATCACATCTTCGTTTCACCCCATATTTTATATCCCATATCTCACATTTCAAGACACTGAGGTCGGGCTCAACGTTCCAGTGTACCGCCCTAGCGCTGCATTGACGACAAGACGCCACTATGGATTATTTTGCTTTCGGTGGGAAACCATTCTTGTCCTGGACTAAGATACCATCTTTCAGTTTCTGCAGAGGTTAGCTGTTTTTCTAGGTTTGGCTCAAGATGGGGGCCATTGAAAGGGAACAGGATGAGAAATCATGTGGTTTGGGGGCTTGGGGGTAGCCTAATTTCGAGACACACCCATATCGGCGTATTTGACACAACATGTGATTTTTGGAATGTTAGGAATCCTGAGCATGTTGAGGTCTCGCTTTCCTCCGCACATTCCTGGAATTTTCAATCCTCAGGCAGAGCAACTTGTGAAACATACCAGTGCTGGCACTTGTCGTTTTAGATGGCACTTGTTTGCAGGATCAAGCTCAGCAAGAGGCGTGGTGCTTCACCAGTTGTGGTACAACCTGGTACAACCGCAACCTGCAACCTGCAAGCTGCAAGCTGCCTGCGCCGCAGGGTGGTGTTGATACCAATGCCTTGCAGGCACTTCAGGTGGAACTCTTGGAACTCAGTGACCTGTTCCCATCAGCTGTTCCCAGCTGGATATCTTAGGGATGGTGGTATGGTGGTACGCCGTACTACGGTGGTACCTCCCAGCAGCGTGGTAACTCGTGGTAACTCGCGGGAGGCTTTCCAAAAGGCGCAAGGCGCCGGTGCAAAGAAGGAGGGCTACGCGGCAAGAGCAGCATCCTCTCGACCAGTGGGGCACCCAGTGCTACGATGGGAACGATGGGAACGATGGGAACGATGGGAACGATGGGAACGATGGGAACGATGGGAACGATGGGAACGATGGGAACGATGCCGATAGAATGATGGCATGTTAGGTAAAATATGAATAAATATGAATAAATATGATATAAAATGATGATAAGAAGATGATACAAGCCCCAAAATTGCAGGGAGTTCTGCTCCAAGCTCACCAAGTGGCGTGTTTTATTGATTTCTTTGGGCTAAAATTGAAACAAACCGATGTATCAAAACTTCTTGATCTTTGCCAATTTGCGCTTTCGTGGCAGCTGAGTGAGGCATATGACGATCTAGCAACTGGGCAGCACAGCCAGCAGTAACTTCAGCCACAGTTCTACTTCTGTTCTGAATGTTTTTCCGAAGGAATCACCATTTTCTGCCATTTTCAGGCACATTCGGTCCATTCTTTCCGCATTGGATCCCGTTTTTCGGTCCGTTTTTCGGTCCATTCTGACTCCGATTCTCTGCTAGGATCGTCTGAGTCGTTGCCGCAACGCGTTGCACCGCAGGACGTCGATGATGACGATGGCTTCGTGAAAGCACCACGGGCGCTGCATCAGGGCTACGATGCCAACGAGGCGCGTTGCGTCAGAATCATTAGATCATCATTAGATCATCATTAGATGATGATTAGATGATGATTGGATGATGGATGATGGATGATAATCCCTTGGAAATCCAGGTTTTTTTAGAGTCCCTTCATAGGACAGGACTTCCCTTTGTCCAAGTCGAACTCCATGGGATTCCGGACCAATTCCAGATGACTTCTTTCCAGGTGAGCCAGTGGCCCAGCAGTCGCTTCGAGGCGGCCAAATTGGCGATAGCTTGGCGTTTTCGCATCATGATATCATGAAACAGGAACTGATATATGACAAAAAGATCCTCCTGGGAATTTAGCTTAAAAAGTTCAGGACATGATGTCTTTAAAAAACTGTATTTTTTAAGGGACATACCTGGCCGGCCAAAAAAAACAGTTCTTTTCTTTAAGGAAATCCTTTTGTTTGACGGCCTCCTATTCTTTAAGAGGCCTTCCTAGGAAGATTCTAGGAACTTGTTTTTTGGATTTTTTTGGTATGTTTGGGATTGTGTGTCAAATGCCTGCCGCTTCTGGAGATGCCAAACGTCAGAGTGAATGATAGTGAATGCATGTAAATGGCGGAAAGCCCTGCCCGAGGACTTCGACCCCAAAACGGGGAGGTACAACGAGGAAGACACAACGGGGAGACCCCAAGGGGAGACCCAAAGGGGGGAAAACACAACGGGAAAATGATGCAAAATGAGAAATGTCACTTTTATAAATTTTAAAAAATAATTTCTATCAATAAATTATGTCCACAATGAGGTTTAAAACATTCAGTGGGTCATTCTCAAGGTATTGGAATGAAATTTTGAAAGTTTTTTTTTTTTTTTTTTTTGTCAAAATATGTTGAAAAATGAGATTTCTATCCATAAATTCAATCCACAATGAGGTTTAAAACATTCAGTGGGTCATTCTCAAGGTATTGGAATGAAATTTTGAAAGTTTTTTTTTTCGTTTTTTTTTGTCAAAATATGTTGAAAAATGAGATTTCTATCCATAAATTCAATCCACAATGAGGTTTAAAACATTCAGTGGGTCATTCTCAAGGTATTGGAATGAAATTTTGAAAGTTTTTTTTCCGATTTTTTTTGTCAAAATATGTTGAAAAATGAGATTTCTATCCATAAATTCAATCCACAATGAGGTTTAAAACATTCAGTGGGTCATTCTCAAGGTATTGGAATGAAATTTTGAAAGTTTTTTTTTCGTTTTTTTTTGTCAAAATATGTTGAAAAATGAGATTTCTATCCATAAATTCAATCCACAATGAGGTTTAAAACATTCAGTGGGTCATTCTCAAGGTATTGGAATGAAATTTTGAAAGTTTTTTTTTTCGATTTTTTTTTGTCAAAATATGTTGAAAAATGAGATTTCTATCCATAAATTCAATCCACAATGAGGTTTAAAACATTCAGTGGGTCATTCTCAAGGTATTGGAATGAAATTTTGAAAGTTTTTTTTTCGATTTTTTTTGTCAAAATATGTTGAAAAATGAAATTTCTATCCAAAATCTTAAAAATATTCAGAACATTTCATGCTTGACTTCAACTTGGGTATCCAATTCTTTAAAGGGGCACCCCTTGGTGTGCAACTTGGGTCTCCAATTTTTTAAAGGGACATACCTGGCTACTGTGTTGCAATCTTGGTTCATTGGGGTTAGATTCTTTAAGGCTGAAATTTGCCCTGGTTCGCATTCTTTAAGAGGCTACCAGTGGTCCCTTAAAGATTCAGGGGTCAGGGTCGGAGGCCGAATTGCAAGGGGGATATATATAGTAAACGGCAAATTTAGGGATTTGATTCGGAACTTCTGCGGCTTATGCATGCTTATGCATGCTTATGTGTTTTCAATATTTTTCAATTCTGTCTGTCACACCGGCAGAGACACATTTTGTGGACCCAAAAGCAGAAACCAAAGTCTTCAACGTTGTTTAAGAGCTTAAACAGCTTAAACAGCTTAAACAGCACAACTATGGCCCGGTGATCCCGGTGATTGGCGTTGCAGCTGGTGGTTATAAGTGACAGGTGATTCGTAAGCTACAGGACGCCACCCGCAATCGCGGACAGGCCGGGGAGACCGGGGAGACCGGATCAAAGCGGTCGATCTATGGTTCATCTGTGGATCTGTGGATACCTTGAGATACCTTGAGATTTTTGGCAAAGTTTCCATATCTCAATGGAGTTTGAACATGTTTCAAAAGATGAAAACGCTACTGGTGAGTGGAATTGCCTACTGCGGATCCACATGAAGTTGCTCTTGGAATCTTGCTTTCAGACGCTTTCAGGTGGTCCTGATGAAAAATAAGGATGAGAACAGATTAGTGGCTGTAACTTGGCTCAAGGCGCACCGAAACCCACTGAAACCCACTGAAACTTGCCACCAGTGCCAGCAGCTTCCCAAGGTCAAAATTATGCCAAACAGGCAGGGCATTGGAGCAACGATGACATTGATGAGCAACATTGATTGCTTGATTGGTGCTTAATAGATGCATCTTGAGTCAGGCAAGGAACTTTCCATGCTGCGAATTCCATGCTTTGTTTTCTGCAAGAATTTCTAGAAGTTCGACTGTGTTGATAAAGTTGATAAAGTTGATACCCTTTTCAGATCTTTCTATATCTTTCTATATTTGAAGATTCCAAGCTATTTTAAGCTATTCCAAGCATTCCAAGAGATTCCAAGATGACCAAAGTCTGCCAGGTGGGTTGGCACGAGCCATTCGGACTTTGTGATCGAACATCCCTCGGAGACAGAGTTGCCCTGGCAGGACATGCCATATTTATGTCATATTTATGTCATATTTGGGTATGGGTCAATACCTATAGATACATTTTTAGTGGGATGAACATCCATTTACCAGCTATTTTGGGGTTCACCAGGGGTACAAGGGTTTTGACCCATCCCCATTTATGTCACATGTTGGGGATATTTGGGGATCCATCCTGAAATCTAAAAATGCCAACAACTTTGTGAAAAAACGACTTGTGAGCACTGAGTTCACGTGATTTCCTGGGCTGGATATGAATTGATATTGTATGATATTGTATTGCTTTCCCGTGAAATCTGGTTCCCCAAGGTTTCCCGTGAGGTTCCCCAAGATCGATCTTTTGGCCCAGGACGTTGGTTGTGTTCGCTTTCTGAACAACGCCAAGTATCCGTACGCCTGTGAACTCCTTGGGGTCTATCGGGATGAAGAGCACACCTACGTCGGGAAGCCCGGCGCAGACGGCGCAGACGGCGCAGAGCACATCTTCCGATTTGCGGCCGATCTCTCATGTCCAATCTCGTCCAATCTCGTCCATGTCGTTTCATGTCGTTTCATGTTCCATGCTCTCCCGTGCACCTTGAGGTAGTCACCACCTTCGCAACCGAGGGTGACTTATTCTCTTGGTGCGAGGCTGTGGAGCGAAGTATGTGGGCAGGTACATAAGATACAGATCGATAAAGCACGTCGAAACAAAGTTGGGATCTGGATGCCTCACTTTTTGTACACTTGGTGCGTTTGACAATTCCGTATTTGCCCGAGACAGGCTGCCGCTGTCAATTCATCATAATTCATCCATTCATTTGGGAGAAATCATTGGAGAAGCGACACCAAAGATAACTTGCACAACAAGCACAACAAGTCGGTGTTTGGCTGCATCCAGAGGAAAGAAAAATAAAGAAAATCTGAATTCGTTGCAGGATCCATGGATCATTTGTCATTTGTGCAATTTGAATCCATTTGGGTAAATTATTTCAACCTCCCAACATCACTGAACATGGTGATTCCTTTCGGGAACCCAAAATGACACCTTGGTCATCTTACGTCATCTTAGGTCTGTGAATTGCCATAGTTCAGTCAGAATCTATGAAATATATTTTTTTATGTTTTTTTTTTTATGTATAATTAATATAATTGAATATATCATGAAAAAGAATGAAACACATGGATATATCTGTTGCTCCAGGGCGGCGTAGCTCCCGGCCGCGAGCGGGAGTTGGTGCGGATGCCCAGTTGTGACCGCTGAGGAACAAATCCGCCATGGGAAAATGAGATATTTGGATAGATGGATGATGGATGTACGATACACATATGGATACAGGATGATACAGGCCTCCCTGGCCCGCCGCCAAATGGGTATGGGGTCCACAGGTCCATAGTATACAGGGGTGAGGGTCATTCCCGCCCCCCCTGATTGGGTGGGGGTTGGTGATCATCTATGAGCTATATATACATATATATATATATATATGTAGAGTAGAGTGTATATAGAACAGATATAGAACATATATAGAACAGATATAGAACATATAGATCATATATAGAACATATACAGAACATATATAGAACATATATAGAACACATATAGATCACATATAGAACATTTATACTGTAGTATATGTAGAGTATAAATAGAGTATATTATATATAGAGTATATATATATATATACATGCAGATTTATAGTTTGCAAGCGGACAAATATCAATGGAAACCATATGGAGAGGAAGAGATATCTTGAAGAAAGAACAGAAAAGAAAGAACAGCGGATTGCGGTTTCCTTCAATTTATTCTAAATAGAAACTTCCAGATCTCTTCAAAGGGTTTCAGATGGCCATCTGATTTTCAGATAGTTCCCGAGATTCGGAGAGATCAATGAATCAAGCACTTCATCAAGCGCTTTACCGGCCCCATAAGATCTTTGAAATCAACCAAGACTGAGCAAGTCTGACAAAAGACATTTGGCCACAATCCATTCAAATCTACTATAGCATGAATGGAATCGATCGTCACACTTCAATCTTCCAGACCTGTGGTTCACGGTTCTTCCGAATCTTCATGAATCTTCACTATCATTCACTCTCCAAAAATCTGATGGATCGCCATGGAACTTGGGATTTTGGGGGAATTTTGGGAGCACTTTCCGAATCTTTCCGAGCCTCAGGCTGTGCAGCCCATTGCGCGACAAATCATGGAAGGAGTTCAGCAGCTCCATGACTTTGGGATCGTCCTTGCCTATGGAATCCACCAGCTCTGTTGGATGAAGATTTCATGCTGTGGAATCCTGGTTGAGAAGCTTGAAAAGTGGAGAAGTGGATAAGAAATGGAGACCGAACTGTTCTTCGTCCCTTTTTATTTGAAGAAAACACGAGCCAAACTCCGAATTCTGCGAGGTACACAGAGACTTGTCCCTTGAGAATGTCCTGATTTCCGCAGCTGAAGGACTGGGGCAGGGTCGGCAGTTCCACCAAAGAGGTTTTTTGTTTGCCGGAAATTCATTGGTTTGGCGGAAAAGTTGAAGTCGAACAAGCTGATTTTTTTCCCTGGACGTACCATCAACGTTCCCGTTCCCTGGATTTTATTCAAGAGTTTCGCACAGCAAAGTTCACTTAAATCGCCCAGGAGCAGATCCATCACTGCAAATCAAGATCATCGACTTCAGCATGGCATCTACTGCCCGCATCTTTAGGCGCCTCCCAGATTCAGATTCCGTGGATTCCGTGGATTCCGTGGAGTCCAGTACCTGCTACCCTGTCCTCGGCCAGGAACTGCATTAGAGGCAAAGCATCCTACCAGGCGAAAGATGTAGGGTTGGGTTGCAGGGTTGCAGGGTTGCAGGGTTGCAGTGAGGAGTGCAACCTCTGAAAATCAAACAACAAATCTTTCAAGAAACATCAAACAAAACATCAAACAAAACATCAAACAAGAAATGTTAAAAACCCAAATCCACCGATTTGTTGATTCGAAACGGGACTTTCCTCCTGTCATGATGACATGGCGTTTCGAATTGCACAGGCGCCCGAACTCCACTCGGATCAGGACTGCCGATATCTGCAGCCTCGGTGACACTGTAGCACTGTAGCAGGCAATGGCAAGTAATGGCAAGTACATAAAAAGAGAGGTTTCAGATGGTTTCACTTTGGAAAGCTGCTATGATTTGGGAGGTCCAAAATGACACGAAGGTGTGAGCCAATCTTCAGGAGTACGATGCGTACTTGACGGATGCCTTTTCACTAGGCAAGGGGGAGAGTACTTTCTTCTGAACTGGAGCTGGAAAGGTTGTGGCTCAGCGTGACTCAGCCAACTGAAGAATTTTTAGAGGGCTGCAACTTCTTGTATGATACCATACCATACCATATCATACCCATCATGCCTGTGTTTTGCAGGGGTCACGCTCTATGCGGTGCTCTTGAAGGACCTGCGCCCTCTCCAGTGAAACTTGAGCAGACTGTAAGAGTGAAGGATTGTAAAGATCTCAAGATTGGTCTTAAAATGATCACAAAAGACTTAAACTTAAACTCTAATAATGAAATTTAGTTATTCTAATCGCCATCTTGAGATATTTCATTCCATAGTATTCCATTGGGTTTTGGAGTGCCCATTTTTGGACGCAGATATGTAAAGGGATTGATCACCTGTGTCACCTGTGTCACTGTCACATCCATTTTCTGATCATTCTGATCCTTTCCGCCTTTCCGCGTGCCACAGGACTATCCATGGCTCTCCACAAGACCAGGTGGTTGCAAATGCTTCGAATATGTTAGGAAGCATGGCTTCCGCGCGTGCGCCTGCCGTGATTCTATGAACTTTTTGGTGGACCGTGGTGGACCCGTGATACTGATACACTGTGATAGTTTTTTCATCTTTTTCCACTATTCAGATCTATTCAGATCTATTCAGACTGTTAAGAATGTTCGTATGGCCTGCAGGTATCTGCAAAAGCGCAAGCTGAGGAACAGCTCACAGAGAGAGGGATTCTCAGAGAAATCGCAATCACAATCGTGATAATCGTGATGCTGAAGCCATTGACAGCCATTGGATTGGATGATTGGTACGAGTTTTGAGCTCCGACTTTCCCACCTTTCCCACCAAAGTCTAACAAGACCCTTGCGCACCTCGCGCACCTCGCGCACCTCGCGCACCTCGCGCACCTCGCGCACCTCGCGCCTCGAGGTCGTAGAATTCATGTCGGAGCCATTGGTGTGTCTTCTGGAAGGCTCTCGCCTCAACTGAAAATCACCAGGGGATGACCAGATGACCAGATGACGACGGGATGACCGGGATGACGGGACGACCCAGGTTGAGGAGGGAACGGAAAGGGAAGTAGGACATGTAGGACATGTAGGACATGTAGGACATGTAGGACATGTAGGACATGTAGGACCGAGGATTTGACTCGTCTCGACTCGTCTGAAATTGAGGCATTGGTAGGTTGAACTTGAGATGAAAAATGATGAAAGATGATGAAAGATGATGAAGTTGAGGGTCGAACTTGATCTCCACAAACTTGCCACATCTTCCGTCATCTTTTGTCTCAAGACATCGACATTTCAAGACATCGCAGGCTTACTGTCCTTCGAGCCCAGCGAGAGGTCGGAAGAGCTGCAAGAGTTGTACTAGCGAAAGAACATAGATGTAAAATAATTGTAAAATGATGTAAAGATGGGAGTTCTCAGAGTTCTCAGAGTTCTCAGAGTTCTCAGAGTTCCCATTTTTTTCAAATCTCATAAATTACCAAGAGATCAAAGCTCATTGTGTGGCAAATGCCAGGAAATGTGGCGAATGTAGCTGCCATTTTGAGTTGGCATTTTCTGTGAGTCTCATGGTGTCAAGCTCTGTCAAACTCTGACAGTCGACTCACCGGCGCAATGATCCGTTTTTTTGTACCATTGTGGAAACAATAAAGCACCTAATAAAGCATCTCCAGGTGCGAAAGAGCATAAAGAGCGCAGATGAAATCTGATGAAATCTGTGTGTACTGATAGGTTGCTGTTGGTGTGTCCACCTTTACATTGATGTATGTGTGTAGATGTAAAAAAAAAGTGGCACATTGCTATGCTGCAAAATCCATGTATTTTTTTAATGGCAGTAGCTGCGATCTGCTGCAATGCTTCAAACGGCGATGACATATCCCAAGTATCGAGTGAATTCGCGTGACATATATTCCATTCATTTCCATTCCATGTCATTCCATAGTGAGATCCATATCTGTAGATATCATTAGATATCTACATTCCAGATGTTTCGGAACGTGTTTCGGAACGTGTTTCGGAACGTGTTTCGTGTTTCCATCTGCTTCCACGGGCAGGCTGACCCTAGGTGAACGGAAATGGGGCAACTCACGAAGGCACGGCACGGCACGGTTTTGTGATCCGCCTTGCGATGGACCTGCGATGGACGTGACTGGACCTCCACTGCCAGGTCGATATGGGACCTAACATGGCTCCATCAAGGCCAAGTCAGACGCGGTGTCCGGGCTCGTGGCGTTTGGTGGCGTTGGAAAAACACATAGGAAGACTGAATAAACATAATAAACATGTTCAACATGTTCAACATGTTACATGATGAAAAAAATTGAAAAAATCTGATAAATTAATAAATAATTAATGATCAATTCCAAAATCCTTTGCGAACTCCCAATGCTTTTGCAGTGGGGCAACCGTTCAACCTGCCAGTGGCGAGCTGTTCAGGTTCAATTTGAAGAGGCCGAGATCTGCCGCCGACAGCAAACTGTAGCCGCTGCCGCCTGAAAAAGGGAGCGCCGCGGAGCGCTGGTAGCTGCGGTTTTTTGGGGCTGTTCTATGGCATGGTCTCGCTGGAGGCTGCCTCTTTGTGGTGCGAATTCTATTTTCTTTCTGTCTTGCAGGTGTGCAACTGGTGGACATTTTGGACTTCAATTCCAATATTATCCAATATTCCTTCGTAAGTTGTACAATTAAATTGAACTCCTTCCCTTATCTTTTCTTTTGGGAGGCTGCTTCATGTAAACCTGTATCCTCAAGGGCAGGGTTCTTGGACACATTTTGTGTATTGCTGAGTTGCAGCAAATGCGTTTAAAGCCTTGGTTTTCAGCAACATGGGTTGCCAAAACAGGAGCGTGCATATCGTTTTGTCGCCAAGTCGTTTTGGACAGAGCAAAAATCGATAGAAATGGGGCACGTCCAGTTGCGTCACATTTGACCAAGCATGGCCATGGGAAGGTCCCAGGCGGTTTGCTTTGGAAATAATTTGGAAAGATGATTTATAATATAGAATGTAATATGATATAGTATAATATAATTGAATATGGTAATATAACATAATATAATATAACATAATATAATATAAAGTAATTTTTGTATAATATAATAGAATATAGTATAACATAATATAATATGATATGATACAAAATAATATAATATACTATAATGTATACTTATATACCACAGCATGGAGCACGTTGCGAGTGTAGCTAGACGTAGCTAAGCCTTGCTGTAGGTCCACCGTAGCTGTCTTTTGTGTTTCACTTGTTGCGTTGTACAGTGTACAGTGTATGCCTTTTGGCTCAAGTGGCTCGTTAGCTTAGTGTAGGCGTAGCTGCTTGCAGGGTCGTCTCGACCGCCGCCCGCGACTTGCGCGCGTGGGTGAAAACAGCTGAGCGGCCGGGGTCCGTCTCGCCCACAATTGGGGGCTGTTCTGGGAAATCTGTGCTGTTAAGTTCAGCCAGGGAGTCGCGGTCACTGTCGCGGTTCGCGCTTTGACGCGCTACCCGCGGCAGCGGTCTGCGCTTCGCGCCGCTGCGCGGTAGGGTCTGCGCTGTTTGCGCATTCCTGCCGCAATGAGCCGTGAAGTGTCAGGAGAAGCTGAAGGGGTGACATTGCTGGATGCAATTGATGCGGGTCGGATCCCGCGCCCCGCTGAAATGACTTTCCCGAGATGGCAAGCCTGGCGACGCGGCGAAGGCATGAGACCTACGCGTCGACGGGATGGACGAGGCCTGACCACTGCTGAAGAGGTAGAGCTGTGGAGAGTAGTCATGCGGCATCTCTATGGAGACGATCGAGCAGATGCGCTCGGAGAAGAAGATGAGGAAGGAGAAATGGAAGGAAGTCCTGAAGGGGTTCTGGCGATTCCTCACGCGGTTTCACCCAGTCCGTCCGAACCGCCTGAGGGCAGCCCGACTCCTTCTGTTGCAGGTTCTGCGGCTGCAACCGTGACTGGCTTGAGAGCCCAGATCAGAGCCCTTTATGATCCTGAAAAAGAAGACCTGGGTGACTATCTCTTACGAATGGGACGAATCGTCACTGCACTTCAGGTCTTGGACACAGGGTGTGCTCCAAACACGCTTGACTTGATCACCCGCAAGGCTGAGATCTTGATCGAGCTGTACGGTGAAATCGGCACTATGGATCGAAGACGCGCCGTAGCAGTTCTGAGGGACAAGTTCACGGCGTATGCCTTGGACGACAAGATGAGTCCTCGAGAGAAAGACCTCTCTATCGGAGCGGTGGGAGAGATCATTCAGCAGCTGGGAGGGTATCCAAGTGCGAGTCCTGACAAGGTTTTCAGTACTCCATCCGATTCCAAAGGAAGCGGAGCAAAGAAGGATGGCCCCTCAGGTCCTGCTGGAAGAGGTGACAAGTCTCCTGGAGGCGAGAGTTTCGCTTTAAAAGCTAAGCTCGCAGCCTTAGAAATGGAAGTGGAAGCTCTAAGAGCACCGAAGAAGGACACAGGGGCGATGTCGGATGCCGGAGGATCGGTGGAGTCGGTTGGCGGGCTTGCCGCGGCTTTGGAAGCACAGACAAAGGTGCTGAAGGAAGCCCTCGCGGGTCGCAGTACCAGTTCTGTGACCGCGGTCAAAACGGATCTCCACTGGCCGACACTTGGAGACGATCGCTCTGATTTTCGCGATGTGACCCAATTTTATGAGGAGTTTGAGGACATCTGCGGCCTAGCCAACTCTTGCAAAGGAATGAGTGCGAGGGAGATGCTGTTAGCACTCCGGTCCAGATGCAGGGGTAGTCGTCTGAAGACGTACCAGAACCTGTACAAGACCGCCTGGCAAGCCGGAGAGGTTGTGAACAGCCCGGAAACGGTCTACGAGCGAATCAAGGCTAAGCATCTCATGTTCAGTGAGTCCAGAGAAGAACGTGAGATTCGCATCGACAGCGAGCATGCCAGCCTGGCAAAAGGGAAGCTTACCGGGCACCAGTTTGAACCGTTGTTTGAGCATTCGGTGGCGGAGCTCGAGTCGGTCGGCCTTGGCAAGACTCCTCGAGAACTTTTCCTGAGCTATCTTCGAAAGGTCAGCCCTACGCTTCAAAAGGAGATCAGAGGAGACAAGAGGCTATGGGGCTCCGAAGCAGTTCTGAGGGGACCTCAGACGTGGGAAGAGGCCCACAAGGTTGTCCTCGAATTCGAGCAACGGGAGGCAACCAACCGAGCTACCGCGAGTGCAGTCTACACGCTCCAAGGTGAAGGTGAAGACCGTCCGAGTGGCCGACCAAAGCACCCGAAGAAGTTGAAGAAGGATGCTAAGGAGGGCCCAGCACCGGGTGCAAACATTGCAATCACCGCAGGTGATCCTCGGAAGGATAAGATATGCTGGCACTTCCGGGACCACGGTAGCTGCAGTAAGGGTTCAGGTTGCCCTTACTCCCATGACAAGGAGCTGAGAAAGCGTGAACTTGAGCGTCTCAAGCAGCAAGGAAAGGGAGGCCAGGGCGGCGGTGCTCAACCATCCTCGTCCGCACTCCCCGCAAAAGGAGGTGGTAAAGGCGGAAAGGGGCCGAAGCCTAAGGCTAAGGCCGAGCCTAAGAAGCAAGCTGAAAGGAGCGATAAGCCGGACAAATCGCAGAAGCAGTGCCCGTTCTTTGCCAAAAGAGGAGCATGTAAGAAGGGCGACAGCTGCGATATGTCGCATACTTTGGCCGCTTCCACTGCCGCCTCTTCAAGCGGAACCATGCCCGCTGGATGGGGTGCTCCCAGCGGCGCAGCCATGAATAATCCATTTGCTGCTTTCTCCGTTGTCGTGGCTCAACCTGGCCAGTCCGAGATCGAGGACGACGGCGCGGGCAAGGTCAGCGTCTTCGCGACCGAGCCGCGCCCGAGTGGCCAGTCAAATGGGCAGCCTTTCACTGAACTAGACCAATTGCCTCAGGATTGGTGGAAGGTGGTGCAGAATGAAAAGGGTGGATATCAATACAAGACGATCACGAAGATCTTGGGAGTTGGAGTCGAGACCATGCTGGATGGTTGTGCTGGTTCCAATCATGTTACTGAGGAGCTGGTTGTTTCGATTCTCAATCGAGCCGCATCGCTGGGACTGACCCCCGAAGACCCGAAGTTCCCTGTCGTCCAGTTTGAAAAGTGGGTCTACCAGGAGTTCGTCCACGGGATAGCCAGTGGGTCCCCGGTTCCTCTGAAGGGAGCCGTCGTCCTGAGGGTCAGGCTCCAAGAAGGAGTTGATCCGAATCGATGTCGGGATGGGCCGGAGATATTCCTCCGCTGCAAGATCGCTGCAAGAGGAACGAGTGACTGGCATGGCCTGATCATCGGCGGGCGAGCTCTCGATTGCGAGGCTCGTCGCGGGTTGGGTTTTCGTCCAGGCCCATCGGCTCACATCTTGGATGCATTGGGGCTCCTGATGCCTCGTTGCGAGGATCTGAGCGCTGAGCGGAAGGACAGAGCCTACGCCTTCGAATCCACGTTATCGGCAGTGGACGGGGGACTAGTAGGGGCTTTCGAACCTGAGGTCTGTTCGAACCGAACCTTACTCTACTACGATGGAGAGGAACCTGTGACGTTGGAACCAGGAGAAGGTGCTCTCATCCCAGTGGAGTCTGGGTTTCGCATCGCGGAAGTTTCCGTGGTAGAAGCTGCGTTGCCCATAGAAGGATCAGTGGAGGCCGTCCCAGGTGTATGGCCTACGGGAGCGTCCCAAGGCATGCTTCTAGTTGCGGCTCGGGACGAGCCTGTGGCGCTGGAAAAAGGAACTCCAGTTGGAGAGCTGAGGTCTGGTTTCGTGAGTTCAGGAACTTGCAAGTGTGGCGCTGTGGAAACCATCTTAGAAGGTGCTGCGGAAGACCGCTGCGGAGAATGCGGAGCCGTGAATAGCTCTCTGGCAGAACAATTCTGCCAAACATGCGGAAGAACGGGGGCTTATGAGGCAACTGCGCTCCAAGGTTGTCGTTCCTGCAGTGGAAGTCGGAGGCGGAGCATATGGCGCTCTGCCGCGCTCGCCTTCGTGGTCGGCCTCGGGGCCTTAGCAGGAAGCAGCTCCATGATGGCATACCAGGATGGCCAATGTGAACTGGATCGGTGGTCCACGTTTCCAGGTGGAGTTGTCCGCGCTCACTATGAGTCGCGGGACAGTCTCTTTATTCCGGAAACGTCAGGTTGCCCATGGTCCTTAGATGGCTTGTCGGATCGTCGGGTCACGTGCGCGAAATGCACGGATGGCCAGTTGATGACAGTTGAGGATGACTGGCGTCACGATCCGTCCGGACAGCTCTCCGGCAAAACATGGACAGGAGAGACCAGGTTTTTCTGGCGTTCAAGCGGAGGCGTCCACAATTTTCGTAATTGGAGAAGTACGTGCACGGAGGCGGTGTACCACATTGTGGAAGTCCCAGGGGGAATCGAGCGCATGGCGGAGGAGACGCCAACGGATCGGTATTATGAGGCTCTTCGGAATGATCTTGGCAAGAGGTACCCTTCCGCGGACAGATTCCTCTTGGATCATTTGGTGTCGCTCGAGGGCTTCTTGGACAAATCG